GGTCTGGGGGACTGCAGAGGACTGGAGGACGGCCGTGCACGGAAACGGCCTAGCCAACCAGGTAGCCAGGCCATGTCAGGGGTTGGGTGGGCGCTGTAGACGGTGCGGTCCCACTGTAGTAGCCTGTCGTTGTAGGCAGTACTTCCGAATGGGCGTCGAAGGTGCCCGCCCAACCAGCGGCCACAACGCTGGACCCGCTGTTTGTCTGTGGCCTTCTGGGCTTCTGGGGTGGTGGCACTGTGGAGCGGTCCTGCGGATAGCCTTACTAGCGCACTGATGATGCCAGCGAAGGCATCCACAGCCTTTAAGATGAAGCCCATCATCCATGGACATGGAGCAGGCACGGCACGGTACTTGAAAGGGTCCATCCAATAACAGATGCGATCCCATTCCCATCCCATCCCACATGCCCCCATCCAAAGAACAGAAGGCTCAGCTCGTGGCATGAGGCGGACGCTGAGGTGAACTCGCGCAAGCCATAATCGCAATCCTGATGTATGTATCTCAAAAGGGCAGTGCTGCACGTAACATGGATGATCATCCATCATCCATTCTACATCCACACACGAAGTGCGCGCATGGGCTTTGGACCGCCTCAGGACTCAATTTGGGCCGCGACCCAGATCCATGCATTGGGCGCCCTCAAGATTGCAGGTTTTGCCGGAACCATTCACGGCAACAATTGGGGGTGAGAAACGGCGCAAAGGCGTACACACGAAGTACGGCTGTTGAAGCATGAACAAGCCATCGCCTCTGCAGTATGCATGTCCCTCCAATTAGATGCCTCTGGCACTGATGCCGGTGCTTATTTTTATCCCGTGCCCTGCAGATGTCAAATTACGCGGTGTACTGCTTTCTTTTCTACTTCCCCCCATCTTACCACGCACATGCACAGGTGTATTTATTATTCATCAGAAGCAACTCTCATACTGCACAGCACAGATCTACAGCAGACGGGATGCAGGCGTGACACTGGCGCCGAGGTCCCTTCACTTCATAGGGTAGGTAGGTATGTAGGAAGGATAGGGCCGACCCCAGGCTGGCAATAAGCAGAGAAATAACAGGGTGTCAAGCAGGCTTTGGCAACGGTCCGAAGGTAGGATCATTCTGGCATCTATAATTTGACAGCGGCTGGAGCCTCCGCGCAGTGTGATGCAATGCTCCAGCCTTTCCATGGCAAGACTACCATCGTATCACACGGACGCGCAGAACTGGGGTAAGTAAGAGGTACTTAAGTCGTCCAGAAATTGTACAGGGTCCATCCAAACCTGCAAATGTGCTTATATGCGCGTATACGAGTAGACAGACGGTCTAGATCACGGAATGTCTGACCGGAAGGCACCTACATGCAGATACGTCTGCAGGTGCGCCGGTTAGCAAGAGCAAAAATAACCATCTCAATGCAAAAGCGAGGCAAGTGGCAAGTAACCTTATTCGTGTCCTTGAAGATATGCATGTACATAGTACGGCACTCCTTTAGCCTTTACGACGCATCACTAAAAGGGGAAAAACAGACCAAATGGCTCGAGCTTTGCGGATCAAACAGGGACCGCCAGGGCCAAACAATCCTTGAGCGTAGTTCCGTTTCAGACCTATTACTGCGAGATGAGGATGAGGGGCGGTCCGAATGGGCTTGGCTGGATCCATGGCACATGCCTACAGACAACCTTACGCAAATCACACTTTGGATATGTAAGTTAAAAACGTGGGATCCTTTGGGAGGCTCGCGCCTGGTGCGCCCAAACCGCAAGTAGGCAATCGTGGCAGCTACCCGCGACGCAGTCAGCCGGATCATTCAGCCCGCGGGCCAGTCTCCTTCCTGATTGCTGCGTGCCGTCCATGGGGCCGCAGTAATAACAATGCCGGTGCTATTACTACTGCCATGGGCCCGTGCTCGGTACCTTTTCTTTAGTGATTACGGTACATCGTCCTGTCTGAACGAGCGAGTGCTCTCTCCCTCCTCCGCTGCTCCTGTCGAGCTACTGTGCGTTAGGCCACAGATAGCGGCGTGCCAGCAGGTGCACGACTCGCCGCGGCGCTACCTGACCTTAGCTTCAGGGAAAACGTGGCCTGGGAGGGACGCATCCATTGCCATCACGGCTCTAACTCGCTTCAAGACCGGGCAGCGGGGCCATCCATCCCTCCATCCCGTCTGCCAGAGCTGTCCTATCAGCCGGAACTGACTCAGGTAGGTTTCCAAGAGCATCGGCCGGGCTAGTCGCTACCATAGGCCGTGAGAAGGACGGCCATCGGGGACCAGTCATGACTAACCGCCAGACCTCAATCGGACAGGCATACGAGCAGCTGGCCCGGGCGAGTAAGTAGCTTAGTGATTTTCAGATCTGCTCGCTCCCATGTTGATTTGCCGGAAATCGATCGGAAACAATGCATATTTCCATCGGCCTCTCAGCTCCTCCATGCAGTTAGGCCACCCAGCATCCATTTGCTCTACATTATCTTTTTAAGATTGCTGCCGGCAGCACGCTGCTCCAGGAACCACGGCAGGCCCTGCTATGGGATACAGCTGGTGGAGACCCTGGACGCAGGCAATCTCTCCTGGGAAGCCATTCGACGAACCCCATCTACCCAGGTGGTGCCACCGTCCACACTAAGATGGCCAAGCCCTTTTGGCTTTCGACTGATCTGCCTTCCTGGGCCTCGCCTTGCTCAGACGAGCTAGACTATACGCCAGCGGATCTACTAGCTTCCCATAGTCATCACCTACGTATCTCCACAGGAACAATCGTACAGCAGGACATTGGTTTGTCCTCAGTTTGCTCTCGCTGCTCCTGGCGCCATCGGTGGGAGGTGGCTAACCACCCCATGGCTGTCACACAAGGGCCTCAGTTTCGCTACCTCGCCAATCACATACATGGCTCATCGGGGCATTATACACATCTGGAAGCTACGTCCTGGATGGCCGCGAAGCTTGAATGCACCACGTCTACGGGCCATGGATGTCGGCAGATAGCCGTGTTGATACTGACCCCAGCCTCTCTCTGATTCGTGGTGCTGTTTCTGGCGTTTGCCAATGGTCTTCACCGACGTTTCAATATAAAATACAAACTGCCTAGTGAAGCATTGGCATGTACCTCTCCTCACTTTCGATACACGCCATTCTTTGGCGGTCCCTAATGCGATGTAGTTGAGACTAGGCATAGTCACGGTCACATGTGGTTTTATACTTGTGGTAGTAGAGCTGAGAAACCACTGTACATTGTCAGACAACTGGGTGGAATCAGAAGGTAAGGCAATCCCATCTCCGGTCCATGGGTACCGCGTGTACTAGGAGAATATAGACACTACTAGGTAGCAACCACGCATTGAACGAAAGCCACTGCTAGCTACCGGTGTCACACTACCACGGGATTCTGTCTACTGCAGACGGAAAATATTTGCTTTCCGATGCAATGCGATTCATGAGGTGTGATTTCCGCTTTGCAAGGCTTGGGTCATGGGCCATCAACGACGTATCACGAGAGACAAGGTCACACTTCCAATCACCTCCCTTAGGGTACATCCACCTGGATGGAGGCAACCCTTCGCCAAATAAGCCCGGAGATGAATGTGTTGCTGGCGAATCAGTTCACAGCGTTCCGGCATACGTTGGAGGCGAGCTCCCACCGCAGCTACTCAGTACGACAAACGCAGCTTCCATACCACACCAACGAAACAATAAGGATGCAGAGACTGCATGTCACACGGGAACATGACTATTCCTCCGCAAGGCGCGGAATCAGTGCCTGATGGCAGCTGTCAGAACACATCCAAAGACATCACCACTGCCCAAGGCACATAGATGGCCCTATGCCTAAACACGGAAACAGCCCAGCCTGAAGAACTTCGCGCAATGGCCCACGCTAAATCATAGATACCAACGTGCTCGGGCATACCCGATCACAAGACGTAGCTTTCCTTTGTGGTTCTCCATCTCAAACCCTTTGTTGTAGCACAAGGGGCATAAGTAAAGATTATTGTTGCTCGTTATTGTACTTACTGTGTCAATCATAGGCTGTCAATCAAAGAATACCAAGCTAACGTTACCATTCCCAGAATGCCCAGACTAATAGGTTTGCCAAAAGTTCCATGCATCGGCATGAGTGTCCGCCAAGAAGACGCCTTGCGAGCAGTCATGTTTGCACAGTCGCGGATGCAGCCACATCTCTAACTGTGAAATTTCGGAAAACACGACAGAGTTACCGCCACTGATCCGCGGGCTGCTGCATCTTGGCAAGCGCGCTGCCGCATCGCTGACCATGGAAACTCCGAGATCACATCAGACTTGTCGTTGTTGATTAGCCATGAAGCCTGATTCGGAGGACACAGCAGGCTTGCGAATGTCAGCCTATGGGCAAGCTGCGTCACTAGCCCTGCAGGATCCGGGAATCACAACAAATTTGTTGGTGTCGGTGATGGGCATCTGAATGACCGCCATGGAGGGTCTGAGGAACACAACATTAGTTGTTAGCGTTAGTCTACGGACTGCTGCATCAATGGCTATGAAACACCGTAAGATCACAACACAGTTGCTGGTTCCGGCCCATGGATAGCTGCAGGTGACGCCAGTGAAAGGACGGCTGGAACTGCATCCTAGTGGCTGATTTGATGATATGAAAACATTCTAGCCGTGGGTGGTGGCCAGCTGGCAGGACACAGGGAGGGGAGGGGGTGGTTTGAGCAGGAAGCTAGCTGCAATACTACAGGCTTCACGAGATTTGTTCCCGGCAGAGCGTGCATGGTTACCGCATCTACAACGATGGAATTAGAACCTCTTTTCTTCTCTTTGATTATGATGAGCTACTTGTTTTGTGCTCCTTGTTTGTATCACCCCAAGATTTCCACCCTCTATATAAAGCAGCCGCAATTCCTCTGATCATGAAAGGTTTTCAATCTAATAACATCAAAATCTCATTACAGACTGAATTCCCCTGATCTCAAAATACTCTCACACCGCCTATACATACCTACGCAGCAAGTCATTCATCCCCCAAAAGACGAAGATGACGAGCAGAATGAAACTCCGACAGCTTCTCACTCAGAGCAAGCCCCCCATTAATTGCCGTTCAAAAAGTACGAGTACTTATGTGAACGAAGACAACTGGCCGAAGCTAAGGGGACACATCACATTATGGGCCGACTTCAACATCGGGACACTTACCAGTCGATACGGCAAGCTACTGGAAATGGAAATGGAACACCCGGAAGGTGTCGCTAAAGAGAAGCTCGAAAACCTCACCATACATGGAATGAAGGACATCAAGCAAATTATTGCTTGGAATGCGTCGATCCTTGAGCCAGCTCTACAGTTCGGCCAATCTCAGTTGCCGCTTCAAAAGCTACGCATTGTTCATGAACATACGAATCCCCATATCACCGCTGCCAGTTCACAAACCAGGGTCGATCATTTGATCGAACTCAAAGATGCCCCGACTCGGACCCTTGTTGTGGGCTTGGGGGCTACAAGCATAAAGTTCAGAGGGGGCGCACATCTGAGCCGTAGCAATCAGAAGAACAAGGCCTCGAGAGAGGAGAACCTCATGAGGCAGCTCGCGCATGCTTGTGACTTGGCCAATTCCCGTTACGGGTATATACAAACTAACGACGAGCTTGTTGCATGTCGATTCAGCTGCACGGGTACAGTTTGGGAGGCAGAGATCATGCCCATCCCTATGGAGCTTTCTGGGGACCAGGGAATGACAACAGCGCTGGCTATTTGGTGGATGGCCATGCTGGCCATGCCAAAATGGGAAGACTCCGACATCAGGCCAAGGGAGAAGATGGCGCCGCTGGATGGACAGGTTGCAACAAAGAAACGCAAAGCCAACGACGACCCCCAGGCGAGCGTTACGGATCCAGACGGCAACTCAGGTCGAATGGCCGGCCCAAGCCCCCCGAGTGGCCCGAACATGGAAGTCCTAGACACTAACGCAGGTATCGGTGGTTCCCTCAACTCTGCCAGTCACAACGCAAGCTTTGCAAATGTCCCAAACATGGGACTCCTGGACACTGCCGCAGGCGTCGGTGGTATCCCCGACTCTGCCAGTTGCAACGCAGGCTTCCCAAGCTTCAGCAACCCAGGATTGGCAGACAACAGCATCGGGAGCCCCGAGGGTCTAAACTCGGAATTTGAAACCGGCATACGAATGAGCGATTTCGTCAACTTTGTGGAGGATGTTGATGAGCTTCAGCGTCGTCAGTCCTGAGTACCTAGAGTAAGGCGCTTTCACCGGGGCTTCAAACCCCCAGAGCGTGTTTTTTCTCGTAATTGTTTTTGGCATGTGGCGCTAGAATGTTTCCCTACACTTGTTCAACTTGTTTAGATTGACCAGACCTTTTCTTTTTTCTCAGCTGGCACAAGCACTTCTGTTTTCTGATCTAGCTATATTTACCTGTCTTTCCTGGGGGAACTATCCACACTGCGGGCGAATGCCAGGTAATATTAGCTTAGTATTCTTTAATTGACAGCATTTGACTGTTACAAGATCGTGTCATATATCCACCTATGTAGGTACTCACACTAACTAGGCTATTTTTTAAGTTAAGTATCAGGTCATGCCTACTATTAGGGATCACACTTCCTTATCCTCTCCTAGGGAAAACCTCTTACAGGACTGAAAACCCTTCCTTTTCTAGGTTCAGAGAGTTGTGTGCACTTGTCATTCATCACACATTTTATCATCAGCTATTTGCACTATTATTTAGGGGTTCCACACTTGTAGCCACACAATAGTTCAATCACACAGTTAATCTTTTATTACGCGTCTTTCTTGGTACTTGTTGGTCATTGTTGATAATTACACAATACCTAAACCAATAGCGGAAAAAATTTAAAACAATTAATAACAATTTATAATAATAATAATAATAATAATAATAATAAAAGAATCTTTAAAGAATCAAAATCAGGAATGATCGCAAAAGCGCAATGAAATATTCGCGCCCAGATTTTCGCAGCTGCAGTGACAAATGCCGGTGTGTGGAGGGCAAACCAACTGCAGGAATGATTTAAATCGTAAGCCTTTACTCCAACCCTGGGATCTAATATTTTAGAAAACACTCAAACAATTAAAAATTCCCCTTCAAGTAACGCGGTGACCCGCGTGCCTTCGAAGAGGAAAGGAGCACTCAATACTACGGGTAAAGTGTCCCCACCGTTGGAGTGAAGAAACCACGTTTGAACACCCATTCGAAGTAGGTCCCGCATCTCCTTGACCGTCTCAGTTTAACCATATGCTCCTCGCTCCCCTCATAGTACCATCGAGGTGGCTTTTTAAATCGTCGGCGTGTCTTGGAGACCTTTGCAACAGACCTACCAGAGCCACCACCCTTTGAGCTCTGACCATTGGCCTGTCCCCCAGCCGAGCTCTCATCCCTACCACGGGCAGGTGCCCTCCAGTCGTAGAGTCTTGGGTCAACATGGGTAAAGACACGCTCCCTGGATGCCGTCTTTCTCAAATTGTAAGTCCAGCGGTCGGACCCATACAACTGGTGTAGTGCCCTGACTGAGACTTGGTCCTTCTGGAGCCTGTGATCCTCATTCCATTCGTCAACCATTTCATCAAAGATCACGTAGTCGTGCACGCTGAACAAGAAAATATCAAACTCTAACCTAGCTTTCCCCAGGGGGGTCAGGTGTGGGTGCATCTCAGGATTCATGCCAAAATGGGGGGTGGTCATGGCGGTGCTGAAGTCGCAGAGCTTGCCGTTGATTAACTGTCGCTGGGCCACATCGATTCCGATTATACCAAGCTCCTGCAATTGGATAATATCCTTGAGGGTCTTGCTCAATTGGCGGTCCCGCAACTTGTCCACGCCACTTCCAAACTCCTTCACAATGGCTCGGATGGGAGGTGGCTTGCCGTCTTTTGTCAGGAAGTCTTGGCGCCGTCTTCCAGAGTCGTCTTGGAAAAGAGACTCGAGCTCGCGGCCAGGGAAACGGTCTCTCAGGGCGCGTTCATGATCCTCGTCGAGGAGCACATAGCCGTAACACTCGACAGCCAGCTCAGGGTGGCCGGACTCGTGGAGGCGGCCAAAGGCACGGCATTCGTTGTTGAACGGGTCCAGGTACTCGCAGAAGATAGTTGCTTCTACGCGGTTGCTTTTGTCGTACTGAGCAGAGAGTGGGGGGCCACCCCAGTCCATCTCTGGTGAGAACATGAACTAAGCGTACAGGGTAGTTAGCAGGGTACTTGTTGCCCACGCAAGTTCGGTTTCCAGATGGGTCTTACGAGTTTTAGCGCGTATATCTGCCCCAAAATCTTGACCTTGATAACATGCGAATGCAAGCCTTCCCCAAGATAGTCCAGGAATTCTATTTGTTGAGAACCCTGGAAGTCAAACGGCTTCAGCTTTGGGCCATTGACGCGCCGCGGCAGGGGTATCAAGTCAGACCCAGACTGGGGCAATTCCGGATACAGGGAGAACCCATTGGTCTGAGGTGCCTGTGAAGGTACCTCGGCAGCCATAATTGAGGCGTAAAGATAATACAATTGGTGAGATACAAAGCTTAACGGCCAAACTTAAGGATGAGTATTAATTGATGAAATTCTAGGTGATATTATGCGAATAAATGAATAAATAAATATATAAAATAATAAAAGAATTATCCAAAGCTACTCCATGGCCAAATCGCATTCTTATAGTGGTCCTGAATGGGAATGCCCAGCCCCAAAAGAGCCCTGGGACGGGTTGAGGTCGACCACCATCTAACTGGTGGTCGGAGGGTAGTTGACCACTGGTCGGAGGGTGGTCAAGGGTAGGTAGATTCTGGGTGGCACTACATGTCGGGAGGTAACCTGATTCAGTAAAGCTCCCAAATATGCTTTGAGTTTTCCAGCACCAGCAACACAAAACTTCTGAATATTCCTGCAGGGAAACACCGTTTGCCATGACAAGTACCAAGTTTAAAATAAATATCTGCGGCCATTAGCTTCTTGGCTCACTATTTTCGGGTCAATTCCTTTCAATTAATGTCACGCCTGACGCCGACCTCTCCCACACCATTCTGTGGGTAGGATAAAGACCACATTGTCTGCCCCTTTGCATTAAGTATTATTTAGTTAGTCCAAGAAAGATATTCAGAAATAGACCAACAAATCACTCGGAAGGCCCGTCAAGACCTTGTTTTCTTTGTGCCAAAGACGAGCGTCGTCGAGCTGCCCGGCCGACACGACGAGCACGACTCGTCCTTCCTCACCCCGGACAGGTCCTTCTCGAAGCAATATCCCAACGCGACTTTTGTCACACATGCCTCCAGTATCTTGTTTGAGATGACCCCGCAGCTCCCGCATTGGACATGCTCCCCTGCGCACATCCTGCGCCGAAAAGGCAGACTGCCGCCCCCGCTGATGTAAAAGACGGGGAACCACGCGCCAGCGTCGTATCAAGCCCCCAAGCAGAACCGCCGCTCGCCGCACTCTGGAATCAAGCGTCCTCCAAGAAAAGAAGGGGACCAGCCCCGAGGGTGTATTATTTGGGATCAAGTGAAATAGGTAAATAAAAATCGATCACGTCTGCTAGTAGCGGAGACGGGACGCCGACGGCGAGCGTGGTGAGGCTGGCTGCGATCAACGCATCACCTCAAACTCCGACTACAGTGTTCTGTCATCATCAGTGTTAAATAGTTTTGCTCGTTCATAATTCGAGATAATTCATAAATGGGGGGACATACCGTTATAGATCCAGTTCAGCCAGCTGAACGAAAGAAAAGAAATTATGTGGGCGCTCCTCACCTCGTGCTCAGCCCATTCACACCAGAAACAAGAAACAAAATGAATAAGAAATGATAGAGAATAGGAAAATTTTAAAAAAACAGAAGGACAATAGGGAGGCCACCCAGGTTTAAATAATGCCTCCCCTTAAGTCCCGCCCTCTCTTAATTCTTCCCCCTTCCACAGCACGGGCTGGATTCTGAGGCCATCACGAACAAGAAAAAACGACAGGTCACCTTCTACCACGCGCCAACGGGCTGCCAAGAAGAAGCTAGACGCAAGCCCGCAGAAGAAAAGAAACTGCCACGAGGGCGCGTGACGGACCTACATTACCTATGGCCAGGGTTGACTCCCGCTGCGGCGTCGGCAGGAGGTTCCTCCTGCCGTTCCTCTGCCTCGTGCTCTTCGTCACGCAGCTGGGCCTGTCGCTGAGCAATCTCCCGTCGCTGAGGCTGATGCAGGACGTCATCTGCAAAAAGCAGCTTGGCATTGCGTCGTATTCGCTGCTCCCGGAGGGCGACTGCCACGCCGATGTAATCCAGCAGCAACTCAACCTGGTCACAACCGGCAGCTTGATTTCGACCACCGTCGGAGGTGAGTTTCAGGTGTACGCCCGAGATGTGTTAGCGACCTAGTATCTAATGATTTCTTTTTTCCCCCTGGCCTAGGCGCGCTGGTCGCCCTACCGTTCGGTATCCTTTCAGATCACATCGGCCGCGTCCCAGTTCTCGGACTGAGCGTAGTTGGCTTGTTTCTCTCGCAAGCCTACGCCGACTTCGTCATTTGGATGTCTCCCAGAGTTCCTCTCACTGCAATTTGGGGTTCCGGAGTTCCCCTCCTGATCGGCGGGGGGAGGAGCATGGCAGAGTCCATGGTCTTCGCCCTGATATCAGACATCATCCCAGCACCCAGACGGTGAGCACCCGCCCCCAACAAAACCAACTCTCTAAACTAACCGATACCTTTAGCGTCATGTGGTTCCAGTGCATATCAGCCGCGGTCATCGCCGGGCAAGCCACGTCGCCCATCCTCGCAGGCTACCTCATGGAGCTGTCCCCATGGATACCACTATGGGTGTCACTCGCCCTGATCTTCGCCGGCGGACTCTCCCTAACCCTCTTCACCCCGGAAACTCTCCCAATCAGCCCTCCCGTTTCAGAAAATCCAGGGAAGGATGCCAGGCAACCTACCAAATCGACCCGCGCCGCCCTGCGCTTCCTCTTCTCCCGCCCGGCTATCGCCCTCCTCCCAGGCTCCATCCTCGCCATCCCGCTCGCGAGCGCCCAGGCGGACGTCATAACCCGGCTCATGCCCCTCCAGTTCTCCTGGTCCCTGTGGCGCTCGTCCCTCCTCCTCTCGCTCAACAACGCCGGCACCATAATCACCCTCCTCGTCATCCTCCCCGTGCTCGCCTGCCTCCTCAGCAGGATGGACCCGCTCAGGCGCGACGTCATCCTCGTGAGGGCGAGCGTGACGCTCCTCATGTTCGGGTCTCTGGCACTCATGATGATTACAAGCGAGGGCCTTGTAATAACCGGAGTTGTCGTCCTCGCCCTGAGCTCAGGCGTCCCTACCCTATGCCGATCCCTCATAGTATCACAACTTCCGGACACCTACAACACTGGCTCCATATTCGGGATGATTGCTCTGGGCGAAACGCTTGGGTTCATATGCTGCTTTCTTTCCATGGGTGCACTTTTTGATCTTGGCATACGAGTTTGGATTGGGTTGCCATTTTGTTTCGGTGTGGCTTTGGCTATCCTCATAGGCGCCACCACCTGGAGTTTTCGTGTCCCACAACTAATCGAATGATCAAATAGTATCATACAAACATCTACTAGATAAATTGTGACTACCTAAGGAAGACACAATACATCACTGGGAATAGTGAACCAGTTTCGAGCTCTTTAGCCGTTCACAGCATGTAATTTTGCAGTTATAGAATTCCTCAAGAAACAATCATCTCTTCAATGCAATGTGTACGTGAGATTGATGTGGTTGTTCAAAGTTTCAATTCGCAAAGCTAACTAGAGCTAATCCGTTCATCGTTACACGTAATGTTTTAGGGTATCAAAATAGGAATAGGAAACTGAGGAACACCGTCTCTAGACATTCTCGCGGTGCTTGTCCTCGGCCTCAGCCTTCTTCAGAATGTCGTGCTCAACACCGCGCTGCTGAGTCTTGCCCTCGGCACGCAGCTGCTCGAAGTGGGCTTGACCCTTCTTGTCGCCAGTCAATCCGCTGACAGCGCTGCCGACTGTTCCGTAGGCTCTGTCAGAAATACCGGAGCCGAGGTCGCTAAGCTGGCCCTTGGCCTCCTGCTGCTGACCCTCAAGGTTCTGCTGTCGTCCTGAGGTCTTCAGGGACTAGAGTTGTGAGTTAGTTATGAATCCAAATAGCTTAGGATGGGAAGGTGCTGATTGTTACCTCATTGCCGATGAGTCCGCCGACGGTCTCCTTTGCGGCACCGACGGTCTGGTTCCATGAGCCGTTGGTGCGATCAGAGTTGTCGCGGGTGACGGCGCCAGAGCCTGAGATAGCAGCACCTGGAACCTTGGCGGTGGCGTGTGAAGCGTCGTATTCAGCATCAGCCTTCTTCTCGCGGGCATCACCCTTGACCTGGTCTTGGGTGTTGCCAGTGAGGCTGCCAATAGTGGACTGGACGGCACCGATGGTAGAGTCGGCGAGCGACTTGAGAGTGGAGGGTTGGGTGTTGTCAGACATGCTTGCTAAGTTGAAGGATAATCTTGGATCTTATAAGTGTTGATGTGAAATAGAAGTCTTGGATTGTTTTTGAGGAGTGAAGTGATGATGGTGAAAAGAACAAGTTCTAACTTTCAGACACGGGCATGGGCAAAATAAATACTTCGAACCATCTGAATCACGGAGCAGGTGTGATGCACACCAACATCCCAATCTCCTTGTGTAGCAGCCACGCCTCACCACAGACTCACCCGACGCTTGCCTTGGATGGCGGCTGCCAGGCTGCCGGTGATGTCATAAAAGAGCAGAGGCAATCACGCACAGGACCCTTGGTTTGAGCTTCTGCCCACCTTCCAGCCAACCAGTGAAGTTGATCGTGATGAGATGGCCCTGTGGGGAAAGTCGTGACGTCAGTCTAGGCCGCGAGCAGGTGCGCCTGGGACGATCCGGCCAATAAGGTAGCCACCTGCTCCCTTGCACGCCATGTAAAGCCGCAAGTTGCTAGCCGTGCCTGCATCCAGTAGCTCCTGCAGCCTTCTGGGAGGGAATAATCGACTTTAGTTTCGGGGCAGTGGGTTTCTTCGGAATAGAAGCCCCTGGAACGCGGCTTAAGACACGGGATTTTGGCATCATCGGCGGCCAGGATGCATTTTAAAGTGCCATGACGTCTTATGCTGAGTTTATTTGCTAGCTATTGTCTCGTCATTGATGCATTGCATGTGGTCACTCGTAGATGGTGAATCTTGCGTCCACCTCAACTCAAGGATCCAGATAGCTTAGTACACGGAAAACAAAGCCACGAACAATGTTCAGTATCATGGTTCGTCTGAGTATGCTGAAGAACGAACTATAGGGGTGATTACAGGGTGGACCGTTCGATCAATCGATGACAACCGCTTTCACCCTACCGTCTCACATTAACGCATGCTGAGAGACCATTTGGCTGGATCCAAAATGTCGTCTCACATAAGGTACTTTGGTTGCGCTAGTTGTTCTGACCATTTGGGCGAGCGTGATAATAGTTCGTTAAGTGATTGTCCCCAGCTGTAGTAAAAGATCCAGCATGAAACCCTTATTTCTTAAACTCACAGAGCTTCAGTTGTGCTCCAGTTTGTGTAAACTCGGGCCTCGTCGTAATTCGACTTCGTGATTTGTTCCCCAGCCATGATATCGGTACTTGAAAGAAAGAGGTATCGTGATAGTACAAGAAATTCATATTTTACAGAGATGGAAAAGTCCCCCGATTAGATATAACCATTATTTCGCATGACATTTCGTCATTGCTCAGTGTTGGCTCCACTGGATAGTATCGAGATCAATACCCTCTTGGACAAGCTCCCAGAGGGGACTCAGCTCACGCAGGAAGGTGACACGCTCCTGCACAGCCTTGAGGACGTAGTCAATCTCCTCCTCTGTAGTGAATCGGCCAATACCGAACCGGATGCTGCTGTGTGCGCTCTCGTCGCTGTTTCCAAGCGCACGGAGAACGTAGCTGGGTTCCAGGGAAGCCGAAGTACAAGCGCTACCAGATGAGAGCGCAATGTCCTTCAACGCCATGAGGAGGGACTCGCCCTCGACATAGGCGAAAGAAACGTTCACGCAGCCGGGATAGAAGGACTTGGGATCGCCATTTTGAGTTGCGTGTTCGAGAGCAAGGAGACCGTTCAGGAGTCGATCGGAAAGATATTTGATACGCTTCGAATCATACTAGAGAGGGAGCAGGTGTTAGTCACTCGAGGCTGCTAAGGGTATGTAAAGGTCGAGCCAAATGGGAAAAAAAAAGCAGCGGAATAGAATCAGATAAAACGCTTCGATCAACAAAGAAGGCCTTGTCACGGGCATTCAGAAAGCCATGCATGTAGGAGCAGATCATCATACGACGTAAGGGGACAAATGAATGAAAAGGGTTTGTCTTACCTCCATCTCTTCTCGAGCGATACGGCAAGCTTCTCCGAAACCTGCGACGAGGGGAGGTGCAAGAGTACCGCTGCGGAGACCTCTCTCCTGTCCACCACCTGTGATAATGGGATCTAATCTGACCCTGGGCCTTCTTCGGACATAGCAGGCACCAATACCCTTGGGCCCGTAGATCTTGTGCGAAGAGATGGACATCAAGTCGATGTTCATGGCGTTGACATCCAGCGGGATTTTCCCGACAGCTTGTGCAGCATCAGTGTGGAAGAAAACCTTGTGCTTGCGGCACAGCTTTCCGATCTCGTGTATGGGCTGGATAACACCGATCTCATTGTTCACGGCCATGATACTGACGATGGCTGTCTCGGGGCGGATGGCAGCCTCGAGATCTTCCATCTTGATCAGGCCGTTGTTCTGGACAGGGAGATAGGTGATCTCAAAACCCTCATCCTGGAGATGCCGACAGCTGTCGAGCACACACTTGTGCTCTGTCTGTGTGGTGATGATGTGCTTCTTCTTTCCTGAACGTCCAAAGAATCGAGCGACACCCTTGATGCTCATGTTGTTGCTCTCTGTCGCCCCGCTCGTGAAGATGATTTCCTTCGAGTCGGCGCCGATGAGCTTTGCGATATGTTCGCGTGCCTCCTCGACCGCCTTTTCACTCTCCCAGCCGTATGCGTGAGTTCTGGAGTGCGGATTACCATAGATGCCGACATAGTAGGGGATCATTACGTCCAGGACACGGGGGTCGACGGGGGTTGTGGCTTGCATGTCGAGGTAGATGGGCCGCTGGCCCTCTTCCATGACGGCCGCCTGCTTCAAGACCTCTGATGGTAACGGTCAGTTTGAAAATGTTGGGGAGACCGAGGGAGGAGGAGAGACATACCAGCCATGGGACTGACTTTGGCATTGCTAGGCACCTCCATGGACGGTGGAGGGATGTCGGCAAAGTCCTTCTTGTCGAGCTTGATGGCCGTCTCGACACGAGCATTATCTCGCTTCGATTCGGACACATAGCCTCGGCGGGCGGCACATCTCGACGCAACTGCCGCGGATGTTGCGGCAGGTAGTCTGCGCAGGGGAGCGGCAGCAGCCCGTCGCGATGACTTGAGTGCACAGGACACAATACTGGCCATGATTGCGATGTGTCAACCTGTTGATTGATGGGTTGACAGATGCAGGTGGCAAGAGAGTGAGGCCCTTGGAGGGCGAGGGCCAGAATTTACGTAGCTTGCAGATTAGATTTGCACACTAATTGGGGGTTTGAGATCGAGAATTTGTCACCCACATTCGGGGCTCGGCGAATCGGCGATAAAGCCTGCGGCTCCCCCAGGCCATGATTGGCTGAAAAGGCCGGCTTGGACTGAAAGGGACCAGCTCAACCGACCTGCAAGCCAATAGCAGCTCGGGGACCAGAAAAGATCTTCATACCTGCCGAGTACTTGGACGTGTGCATTTGATACCGGAGTACTTTCAAAGAGGGGAAGGGAGATAGAAAAAGCCGGGGGTTGTCTGCGGAGGTTGCAGCGAATTCAACCCAGCTCACGGCGGGCGGACATAAGAGACATTATAGGACCTTCTCATTCGCAGCGGGAAATTCAGCGACTGTCCGAGCTTCATAAGTACCTCGTAGCTCAATGTGAGTTATTCAGTTGTATCACAGACTCATTATCTGTCAGTACTCTGTGAACGAATGCATCGATGACGGCAGGGACCAGAGGAACCTCGCCCGGCCAAACTTCGTTGACATTAATGCTGTTTTACAAACTACGGGAGACATGTGGAATTTTTATTGAACAGAGGCTGGGGTCAATTTGAGGTCTTCCGCTTTTTGGAGGACGGTAATTACCAACGCGTGGACCAAGCCCTTTGACTCCATTCACGCTGATGAACCAGAGACCAAACCCCCCACACAGCACTAATCCCTCTAGTTCGGGACAGGTCCATGGGAACCCGGCCAAAATAAGATACGGAGAGTATGATCCTCGCTTGCCCGGAACCCAGCCTGCGCTGGCGATAGGTAGTCTCCGGGAGGAAGGACTAAGTTAGATGCTGCAGAGGTTTACCTTGCTCTGGATATCGATATCGAAATGAAAGCCACCCCTGCGTGCCGGTTGCCGGTATATTATCCGTCGTCGTAGGTGCGCACTGGACTTCTGTTGCTTTAGGTAGCGATGCGAGTGGCAATACCGGGGCCGATGACACAAAGCAGCACCGTAGAGCCTTGGCGTTGGAAGCTCTGGGCGCATCAGCCAGCGCCAGCCACAGGCGGTGGTGCGTATGTACCACAACCGGCAGCACAGCCACGAACCACGTCATGCTGCGGCGCTGGCTGGCTGACATCGTTAGCCTTCGCATTAGCCTTTTGTTAAAATACCAGTGCAGTGCCCTTGACCTCACCCACCCGACGGGCTACTGGTGAACTTTGGTCGACTCGACAGCCAGCCAACATCGGCCCTCAAGCATTCGACCTGTTTTGCTCAATCCGAAGCCCGACGACCAGCTCGCCAGATTTTTGCTTACAAGCTTGGGTGCCATGAGTTTCAAAGGATTCCAGAAGAGCCTGACTCGGGTAAGTCCATCTTTTTGTCGTAAATCGTCATCAGTCCTGCTTGCCCCTCACCACCCGAGCACCCCGCTGGTGATGCGGCCTTGACAACGCCAGCCAGAGGACCTGTGGGATACTGTCGCATTTGATGGATGAGGTGCTGATTTTTTTTCTGCGTTTTTTCTACTTGGAATAGGCACCTCAGCAATTCAAAACCAAGTTCAACATCGGCGAACACACCAAAGATGCCGTCTACATAGATGCCGAGCGTCGATTCCAGGAGCTTGAGAAGGAGACGAAGAAACTGCACGATGAGTCAAAGAAGTATTTCGAAGCCATCAATGGCATGCTCAATCACCAGATCGAGTTCAGTCAGGCCATGACCGAAATTTACAAACCCATATCAGGCCGCGTGTCCGACCCAGATTCTATCAAGCCCGAGGGCAACCCAGAGGGTATCGAAGCGTGCGAGGAGTACGAGGCTGTGGTCAAGGAGCTCCAAGAGACGATGGCGCCAGAGTTGGAAATGATCGATACTAGGGTTATTCGACCAGCCAACGAACTGATGGACGTGATCAAAGTTATCCGCAAGACCGCCTTGAAGCGAGAACACAAGAAGCTCGACTACGATCGCCACCGGGCGACCCTCAAGAAGCTGCAGGATAAAAAGGAGCGCAGCGCCAAGGATGAGAAGGCCATGTGGAAGGCCGAGGGCGATGTCGAGCAGGCGACCCAAGATTTCGACTACTTCAATAATCTGCTCAAGGACGAGCTACCGAAGCTCTTCCACCTTGAACAAGAATTCATCCAGCCCCTCTTCCAGTCATTTTACTACATGCAGCTCAACATCTTCTATACTCTGCATGAGCGGATGCAACGGTGCGACATCGGCTACTTCAACCTCACTCTTGACATCGAGGATGCCTTCCACGAAAAGCGAGGAGACGTCCAAGAGAGGACGGAGGCGCTATCCATTGTGCGGTATAAGACGACAGGCCAGCGACGACCACCAAAGTATCAGAATCGCCTCGAGGCTGGCAAATCACAGGGCTTGTTGACCCAGGGCCCCGGGGCCTCGGCCTCAGAGAAGGAGAAAATGGGCGGCCATTCACCCAACCTGTCTGATGCCGAGCAAAACCCGCCTCCCCCGTATACGACCGGCGGATCCAGCCTGTCGACAATCGCCGCGGCCAAGGCGAAGCCGCCTCCACCAAAACCAAAGCCAAGCAGGCTGGTTGCGGCAGCGCCTGCCGCAGAAACGGTAACGGCTCTCTACGATTACGCCGCCCAAGCCGACGGCGACTTGAGCTTCCAGACTGGCGATGTAATTGAGATTATCCAGCGGACACAGAACGAAAACGAGTGGTGGAGTGGAAAGCTGAAAGGGAAGCAGGGGCAATTCCCAGGTAAATTCCGGGCACCCCAACCCCCAAATTTAGGAAAACCCAGACTAACCCAAGCCTCACAGGAAACTATGTTCGACTAAACAGCTGATGAATTATCCTTACCCTCTGTGATCCTCCTACATGCGAGTACCTAAGACCAATCAAACGCTCTATCCATAATTCCTAGATATGAGAGCAGGTTGAGGAGAATAAAAAATTCAGATTGGGAGTTCTTTAATTAGCATCTTTTCATGAACGTCGGATAGAGCAGAAAGATAATTACCATAGCCACCGTGCGTACAGCGCCGACTCCCCAAAGGGAGAGATGTAAGGGGTATTGTCCCCGTCATTGTGAGAGGGGTGCTTGCGATGAGGCGTACTTTTTTTCTCTCTTGGTGTATTGAACAACTAGATATCACAATTCTAAATCATTGAAACCGAGATCTGATTGCAATTACGAAAATATCGAAGAAGTAGCCTTTAGGTCTTCGTGAGCAATGCTCCCGCGATGGCCAGAGATGCATCCGCTATAAGATGCCATTTTCGGTTTAAGTTGTAAGTCATTCATACACGCACTTGAATATTTGAAACCAAAATTATGATGTGATTTACTCTTGAGTATATTCTACTCATGAGTTGTTCCACCCTCAACGAAGAAAGCAGTCAAGTGACTCAGCGAGGGGGCAGATGTGGACTCCAAGCATACCACCTCACCCACCCCGGATATAGTACTTGACTATCCGATTACTATAGTCTCGAAAAATCTAGGAAAATACTCATAGCAGGGCTAAAATATCCATTTAAGCGTAACACGGCGCACGTGGTTCTAATCAAAGACTAGGGATATGCACTGGCTTTCTCTGGTGTAGATTTGATCAATTTTAGAGTCTGATTATTATAGGGCCAAGTCAAGGCCCAGAAGTGGCCGATTTTCTCCCTGTAGGAAACTATATAATGGCTGGACTTTTTCTGCTAGGTTTACGCTGCCAGGTTCCATGACCCGTGGCAGATCTGGCACGGCTTGTAGATGATCGCCGTGGCTCTCTTGTGAGAGCAGGGCCGTGGGCAATCCTGGGAATCTGAGTCCTGGATCAAACGATATGATGACTACAGGTGATGGAGAGCGGGAGCCGCTTTCCTCCATCTGATAGATGACAAACCTGTCATCTGCTACCCAATCCTTCACGCGACCTGATGGCTGTGGATTTATCAAGCTAAATGCCCGCTGGATCTGAGTTTCCGGTTCGCCCCGAGGCGATTCCGGAGGCCAAATCTTGACATCCGAGTCCCCCTTGAAGACCTCTCCGCCAGTCAAAGTCACAGAGCGAGGTTGGAGGCCGGATGTTCTCGCCATTGGCCGTATCCGAAGTCTTAATCGTCGTGTGTTGGCTGAGTCCGGCGCTGGGTCGTTGACAAGGTCAACGAAGCTTCTTGCCGTAGTATTATATGACCGTATAGAAGAGTCGATATAGGTACATGTTGATGCACGATGTCCGCTATCACCATTATGAACGCTGCCTGGTGGGCGAGTTTCGAAATAGGCCGGACTGTCTAGCTCGTCTTCAGGGGGGTCTTCCAACTGTTCAATCCCCGTGCAGTCCTCCAACGGGAAGTCGATTTCTTTGCGGTAACAGTTCCGCTGGCTGAAGGCCGCATTGGGATTCCATTCCTTCCTAGTCTCGCAAATAAAGATCCCACCAGTTTTCTCATCTTGGAAAAGCCCGAGCGAAGCCCAGCGATCATCAGTGGAACCCTCGTTGGGGTTTCTTCTCCAGCTCAATGACTTGGGGAGCAGGGTTGGAGAGGTAATTCTGCCTATTGGGAACCGAAACACATAGTAAAATGAGTTCCAGGTTTCGGGCTCGGCAGAGAAAAGCTGTTCACTTGATGCGCCATAGAAATACCCGTCAAATATCTCAAAGGAGGCGTTGGACCCGATCTCCTCTCCCATTAGACTTGGGAGATCGAGGAAACCAATCTCCTCTGTTCCAGAATCGAGATTAATCTGCCGAAGAGTCCAGAAGCCTGGATTCTGGAACGTTGGATACGAGCGTACGCCATAATAAAGATGGCTCTCGTCGTTTCTAATGAATATCCTGTGTGTAGTCGCTAGAGGATATGCCCTTGATCGCATCTGATCGATCTCCAACGTAATCAAGTAGTCTTCCCCTGCTGCTGCCCTATCTTGGGCCAATAGAGAAACAACCCCACAAGAATAGTGCAACGGACTCAACCGATAGTCATGCCAGGTTGGGTCCAACGATTCAATGCTCTGAAGCAGTCGCTGTGGATCAAGAGCAAGTTCCGTGGTGACCGATCCTTGAAGAAGAAGAACGCGAAGGTGATCTCGCCCAGCAATATAGAGCAAGGCGCCATTTCTATAGATGAACTGGTCCGCTACAGCAACAATCGATACGAGAAAGGGGTTGGCCGTCTGGATAGCAATTTTCCGCTTTGTAATCTGTCGCCATGCTTTTGCATATTGATGCGTGGTCTGCGCAGCCCTGTATTCTGGTGAGAACGAGGCGTGTTTCTATCTTCATATCAGTAAGAGGTTGACTCTCAGCGACTCGTGGTGTCTGACCTGAAGATTCAGTCTACATATGCCCTCATCGCGAAGGATGAACTGAAAGTCGCGGCTGCTCAAGCTGAAGTTGAACTGATCTTCAAGGTCAAGAAGACCGAGCACCATAAGAAATATCTCGTTTGGCAGCTTGAGAAGCCCCATAGTAAAGAAGCTGGCGAGATAGGAGTCGCCCTTTCATAGTCACGGGCATTGTTAAACATCGCCACAAGAAACAAGACGTTGCCTAGGGCGAGGCTGGGGGGAGGTTTAATACATATTGGCTTTCTGCCCCCGGGAAGGTGGTACACGACAGGTGTAACACGCTTGGGGAGAGCAGAGCCTCATCCCATTAGGAGACAGGGGAGGTTCCCGAGGAGGGGGGAAGAGGGAGGGGAAATCGGTGAATGAGGCTCTGCTGCGGTCGGCCACTAGATGGGTGTAGCCCTGAAACCCCCTCCCCCTTCGCAGACTAGAGCGAACCTGAAGGGAGGACACGGAAGCATGAACAAGGTTGCTCTGAATAGGTGCATGTCCGCAACCGGTAAAGCCCTCACATCATGGCCGGTGGGCTTTCTTGGACTGACATACTGGATATGTGTGGTGTCACAAATCATGTTGGAAGTGAAAGAAGAAATTCTGGATGAGAGGAAAGAACCTCGCATGGTCACATGCAGGGGAGAGGCAGACTTTCGGACTGGCTGAAGGGAAGACAGCCAGGACAAGCCGGCTGCATGGTACTACGCTGGCAAGTACCTGCTTGATGAGGCTCTACCAATGCCACGGACGGGCGCGAGAACGAATGAATCGAGGTGCATGCGTAGTGCAGTGCTACATACTACCAGAGAGCCCAATCACGTCTCGAGTATCTCGAGATGCGGCTCTGCAGATGGGGTGCATAGGCGCTTTGCCAATATTACCACGGCACCGACGCACCAATCATCAACGTACATAGCGGTAATTTTAGCACCAGTGGGGAAGGCGCGTGACAAAGTGTTTCTTCCTGACACAATTGTACAATCCGAAGAGAACTGCAACCTTTCCCCTGCTTGTTGTTTGTGAAAGCTGACCCCGCACACGCTATCATCACAAACGCGAGTGATCAGCTCAAGTGAGTGGCTTCGAGCGTGTCCAAGAAGCAGCATCACTCAGCCTGAGCATCATCAGGCAAGGACGGAGGCAGCGATATACCCAGAGTAACGAAGGTACTTCCGCTAAGGTGTGGCGGTTCAGTCCGGCTGAGGTACCTTTGCAGGTACCTCATCAACGGTTTCCACCACGAAATGAGGCTCAAACCGGGGCGTGCGGGATGCAGCTACAACACAGACTTCTGCACATGCACTTCAATCTCGCACTAAGCCGCCCTGCCCTCTTCGTCCCGAATTTAACTCGCCTAGCTCTAAGGTAGGTAACCTTCATGCCTGATTGCATAGGTACCTCGTAACCGGATATCGAATATCAACCCCTCCCTCGATGTGGATACCCGGTGCTATCTAGGTGGAAATGAAACCTCATGCTGTCTCTCCCAGCAATGGAACCCATGCCGCAAATAGTGGACAAATTTGCGAGGTACGATGGGGCATCCGTGATACCAATATACGAAGGCCTAGCTCCAAATTTATTGTCCTGTCTCTCACTGCTAGATGAGCTCGCTGACAATTCTGAGCAGCCAAAGGACACAAAGTCGCTTACACAGCTTTGGCTAGGGAAGAAACAACGCAGATGATGTTAGGTGGCCAGTATGGAAGTATCAAAGAGATCAAAACTTGGCCTTGTGTATGCCGTACTTGTCACCGGTTTACTCGTTTCGGCACAAGCCACGTCAATCGAAACAAGAAAGCATTTCCATTATTGGCCATCAGACCAATAGACTTCGGCCAAGGATCAATCCGAGGCCATGACCAAGACCTACCGATCTCCTCGAAGCCCTGATTTATCAGGACAGATACGAGTCCGTCACGAGCATGTCCCAAGGATCAGAGGTAACATTTGTGATAGGTTTCCAGGCAGTGGGGAGCACGGTTCCAAATCCCTGGGCCCGATGTGGCAATGCTCGGTTGTGAACCTGACTGTGTGACCGTGAACAGCAGATCCAAGGAAGCACCGTCTTACCATCCCGATTTCCCACAGACGTGGCTTAGCTGTGTCAGACGAGGAGAATCTTGTAACTCGGTGAGTGGATGAACGAACCAAGACGCATCTTTGGCTTTAAAATTGGGTGGTTTCAGTCACTGCCACGTCAGCTGATGAGCTGAGCCATTCTATGTCAGTCGACCGCAAACCACACCCGTGGCATGAGGACTAAGCCCGAGCGGGCAATAATTCTTCTGTATGCCGAATGAGTGTGGGTAGTGGATATGCCGACGTGGTGGACAGCTCGGAACTGTCTCGACTACCACCAAAGACTGCATACGAGTGTATCCCCATCGAAATGGCGGCCCTTTTCGCCGAAATCAATATACTACAAAGAAACCCCACGTCTACCATATGTTATATCATCGGCCAGTTTAGTAAATGAATGCTAGGCATTGGCTGGGATACCGAGGGTGGATGCTTCGTGTATCGGCCGCAGTGGTCAGGCGGGACTTCAAATTCTTCATTACGTGTCAAATCATGCCGAGGTCCCCAATTGAGGAGTTTATTGAAAATGTAAGATATATGACATAACAATGAGCGAAGCGCGATACAGCCGGCCTCTTGCATATTCGTTGCATACCTAGGGTGGTATTAGATGAAGAACGGCTATCTGAAGATGCCACCCAGTTGAGCGTAACGCCAAGTCAAGCCGTGCGGTAGATGGAATAGGAAAGACTAATCTTAATCGAATTTGAATGGGAAACAACAGTAGTAGAGCTTTATATTTATGCAGATGAAATTGGCTGATATTCAAGTGCAAGCCTCACTGTTGCCATGGCTGGTAGAATCATGGGCGTTCAGCAAGAGCGGGATGCATAATGTCAAGGAATGTGCAGTTTAGAGTATTTATAGCTACAGCAGCACTCGTATGCTAGACCTGGTGGAAAATATGCTCGTTCGTAATTGAAACTGATTTTTCTTGGATTCAGTATGCTCGGTAGGTTCATACGGCGTTGCAAAGGTACAGTTTGGAAAAGTATTTGACACTGTGCTGATGGTAATCGATAAGATTGCTCAGTGGTTATCGCGAGGCAACTTTTTTTTTTTGCTCTCGTCGGAGCGAAGCAACAGTTTTGGCATAACTGCCGCACGCCTTCGTCCTATTGAGATCAGGAATTCTCGAAGCCCCCATCGAGAAATTATCCGACCATGGCTCCTCAGGAAGCTTCTGGCGAGTCTTTCGCCATTCTTACCATTAGGATGCCTCCTCTACCGTCTTATCCTACTTCCACAACACATGAAATCCGTGTGCGACGGAATGCGCCCAAGATCCCGACCGCGAATGACGATCGGAGTCTATTCCTTAAAAATATCCCCCCAGACAGCACGGAACCTCATTTTCGCGCAGTCTTCTCTAGCTTGGTCGGCCCCGGCCGCTTCGAGACCATGACTTTCGAGGACCAAAAGACACACAGCCCCGGCGTTGACCCGGCCCGCGCCTTGAAGATTAATGGGTTCGCGAAGAAGCGGAAGAGAGGGGATCTTGAAGAGGAGGAGCGCGAGCGCGAGGAAGAAGCTACCCGCTTACCTGAAATCTGGACGCGGCAATTGCAAAAGAGCAGTAGCACTGCGGTCGTTCTCCTTGCCGACGAGAAGAGCGTTCAGCAGGTTCTGAAAGCCATTGGGAAGCTTCAGAAAACAAGAAACTATCCAATGTGGGGCGAAAATCTAGCAGATGAAGTGCCTTCTCTTGGTGCGCGATGGCTCTCCTCGCACCTCCAGCTGAACCGTGTCGACAAGGCAGAGACCAAGAGGGCGGTCCATGCCTTCTTCAATACATACAACCGAAAAGAAAAGGAGGCTGCTGAGCTTGCCAAGAGGTTGCGGAATGAACCTGACGAGGATGGCTTCGTTACTGTTACTCGCGGCGGTAGATCGGCTCCAGCCAGCCGCAATGAGGCCGAGGAGGCCAAGCAGAGGATGCTAGAGAAGCAGGACAAGAAGAAGTCGGATATGAAGGACTTCTACCGCTTCCAGCTACGGCAAAGGAGGAAGGACGAGCATAAGGCATTGCTCAGACGGTTTGACGAGGACCGGAAGAAGGTTGATGCAATGCGTGAAAAGCGTGGCAAGTTCAAGCCTGAGACGTGATACGCTCGGGCTCGTCCCCCACAATTGCAATTTTTTAGTACGTTCGTTCCTGTTTCTTCATTTCCTCACATTTTCCATTACACTATGCATGATGACGCCGCGGGGCCATCAGACGTCGGTGACATTGCTTTTAGCAATGATAACTCTGACGAAAGCTGCAAAACAACCGCGTTAACAAAATCTTCTCAAACTTTTCTGAAGCTATTCTTGAATCAACCATCACATCTCAAACTGCCTTCCTTAGACACCTGCTAATGCCAACGCATAGGTACGCAAACTCTAGTCCTTTGCCATATGCGTGGGAAGGGACTGATCAGTGGTTCGGTCACCCTGGTCAAATAACAAGCGAACTACGTATGCCGTGCTACATACAGCGTCGGTATTCTGAACGAGCTACAAGGATTGTTGTTCCTTCTCCAAGAAAATGCTTCGGAGAAGGTCTGCAGCTTCCCACATGCAGAGCAACATGTCGTCCCGGAACCCGCCTATCCATCCCCTCACAACTCGGCCGCTGTCATCGGCCTTGTTCACCGCTTACTTGGGCGGAGGCTCGTTCAAAAAGACATGTGCTCACATAATTTAAAGATACCCAGCATTTAGTCTCCCGGCCGAAAATGTTTGCATGTAGATAGAACTGGACCAGCCGTTATACAGCATCCTGCTGTTGTGATAGAGCAGGTACATCCCAACTTAAAACTAGGGATGATGAAAATGCACAGCCATCAAAATCTGCCCACAAACCCGCATCGTAACCATGGCAAAAATCTTCGCGCGTAATTGTTTATGTGTTGTCAGTCCATAATCCAGAATATGCGGCCACAGGCGGCCCAGGCGATATGTTGGCAGCATGTGATTAGTCATTCGGGTAGATGGTGGGAATGGATGGAGTGGATTGTTTACTTTCCCCCACCTAGCAACCAAAACAAAGAAGCGCCCAGTCTCGCAAATATTAGCCAGGTTCCCACATCACAGACCCTGGCGCCCAAGAACTCGAGTTCACTATCGATAATACATGAGAATTCAGAGGTTCTCGACGAAGATGGTCGCATGCTTGATGCCCTAAACAAACAATCTTATGTGTGGTGCTCCGACAGCAGCATATCACGATGATCGACACCGATAATCTGCGAACAGCGTCGCTGTACATCAACAATCAACTCCTTTCGCGGGGTCTTCTCAAGGATGGCCAAAGCATTGACTTCTCGAACCCCGAGAGGGTGGACGGCGACATTGCACCGACAATGGGACGCATCATGAGTGTGGTCAATGATCTCATCCTGCGTCGCGATGTAAGTTGGAATGCGGCGGGTCGGCGAGAAAGGTCTACGGGGCACTGATATTTTTCTCTAGCGCGATGCTGAACACCGCGAATCCCTTTCAGCAACAATGCGCTCCCTCCGTGCCGAGAATCTCAAGCTGGCCAACGACGTGAGCCGCCTGAGCGAGAAGTGCGCCGAGTCGCAGCGGAAACTCGACATTGCCGAGGCATCGGAGACCTCTGTGCGGACGCAGCTCAAGTCGGCAGAATCCGTCAACCGCGGGCTCAAGGACGACTTGGCCCGCACGAAAGCCCTGGTGGCTCAGGCGAGGACGGCCTGCGCCACTGAGGTCCGCCGACGCGACCGGCAGATCGAAACGCTCAAGAAGCAGGTCGGGGAGGCTGGGCGGGCTCGCGGTTCTAGGACGAACTCGGCCATCACCACGATCACCGTGACGGGCGACTTTGGGGCGGACACGACTACCAGGAATGTGGCTGCCACGGGTGAAGGATACTCTCTTCGCAGCGAGACCAACGCGTTTCTTGCCGATTTGGCGCAGAATCTGAGCGAAGAGAATGAGCAGATCCTGGGAGCTATGAGGAAGGCGATGGGGCGTCTGCGGGAAATGAGTGGATGGGAGAATGGGCAGGCCGACGGGCATATTACGAGGGCCCAAGGCTGGGAAGACATGGCTCCTGAGCTGGACTCGGTGCTCGAACACATGAAAACCATATTGTCGAACCCATCTTTTGTCCCAATCGAGGAGGTGGTGGTGCGAGAGGAAGAAATCAACCGGTTGAAGGATGGATGGGTGAAGATGGAGAGCAGATGGACTGAGGCTGTCCACTTGATCGAAAGCTGGCGCAAGCGAATGGCTGCCAGCGGGCGACCTGTTTGCGATGAAGAACTCAAGATGGGTCTGCGACTGAGCCCTGTTCGTGTGAAAAACGTCGCCGAGACCAGACATGCAGGAAGGTTCGGGTTGTCTGCTGTAGCGGAGGAGCAGGAGGAAGAGCAGGAAGAGCAGGACGAGCCAGAGGAGATACAGGAGGTTTATCATGCGCAGCAGTCTCCAACCCCGTATCGGAATGGGACACTTGACCCGATGGAACAAGGTCAGGAAGATTTGCAAGCGGATGACTTGAGCGAAGATGACCTGGGGGAGGATGACTTCTACGAGGACTATGACGAAGAGGAGCCAAACGTTGAGATCTTGCAACAATCAGTGGCGATGCCTTCTTGGAGGGAAGCCTCGCCAGATTCCCCGCCTATCCCAGAGCCACCACGTCTCAGCCCCTTGAGGAATTCTCCATCAGCTGGGAATAGAGGGAATCCGGTCAAGAAGATCAGAGAAAAGCCGGGCGATTTTACCACCATCGCGGAAGAGAACACTTGGGATCTGGAACAAGAGCAAACGGGTCACCGTGATAAACGCGTGAAAAAGACACCGACCAAGGACGAAGAGCAAGAAAAGCCACATCGATCTCCTGTACGAACTTCCTTGGACGACGCTCTGCTAGGAAAACTGGAAGAAGATGCGGCGCAGGAGAACAGTAACTCTACGGGTTCATCCTCGAGAGGATCGGACAGACAAGGAACAGAGAATCTCTCGGCGAAGACTCCCCGGCGTGGGATCTCACGGCTCCCTCTACCTCGAAACGCGGAAGCGGGCGCGCAGCAAAGCCCACTCACCATGGCGAATATTGCAGCCAAGCTGGCAGCATCAGAGAAGGAGGCTGATGCTGCCCGTGTTCGCGCGAAGCTCAAGGCAGTCCGCGGTGCACGAGGAGTCCAGAGGCCGACATCCACCGTTCTTGAGACGAGCAGCTCTGAGAGTAAGAAGTCAGAGACAGAGAACGTGGATCCGGTGAAGCAGGACCCAGCAGCACAAGCTCCGAGACAAGAGCTCAAGGTTGAGAAGCGAGAGCGGAGGAAGAGCAAGGTTGCATCGAGACGGCGAAGCACGCTCAGTCCCTGGGAGCTGGAGACATTGATCACGGTACCTCCCCAGTGAGGGTGGGAGACGGCGTAGGAATGTTTTCTTTTAATGTGTATATGTGCAAAAGGTTTGAAGCTATGGGTATTGTGCAACTGCAAGGAGCAAGTGCATGGCGATTCAGTGTCTGGATATAATCTGGCGTTTCGAGTTTCTGGCGGCAGTATCTGAATCAACGGGGTTCTTCATTTCACAAATCGAGGTTCACGTAGCAATTGCAATATTCGTTAAGTGAAGCTTTTCCAAATGGAGTTTTCTCTACTAGAGAGCTATGATGCTCCTTCCATTATCCCTTGTTAATCCAGCCGAATTCCGGATGTGCTGACGTCAGCACCAACCGCAATCATCATGATCAATTCACGTGGGGAAGCTTTCTGATCGGGAAATCTGGCAAGAGCGCATACTCCAGAGCATCGCTAGGGCCATTTCGAGCTTCTCTCAACCCAGCAAGGTCCCAAGCGAACATTCCCATCGAAGAAGCGAAGCGGCAGATGCCATCATGAAGCCCATCATCGCTATCCCAGCGACCATAGCTCTGATCGTCAGGGCCAGGTCCAAGAACTCTCTAACACTCGCGGGGCAAATCGCCGCGACGCTCACAGCAATAGCTCACGCATATCACCCTTGGAACTTGCCATTCGCTCTTCTCTGCGTCTTCTTCCTTGCCGGAACCCGTGCCACCCATGTACGAGCACCCCGCGCTCCCGAAGAAGTGCCTTGTTGCTAATCTACCAATCTACAGGTCAAAGAAGATATCAAGGCCAAGCTGACCTTGCACTCCAAGGGTTCTTCAGGCGGCGAGGGCCCTAGGACTCATATCCAAGGTATTTATCACATCAATCGGTTGGCTCCTTCGATCCTGTAGTCTTGTTGCTAACTATTGCCTTTTCTTCCAGTCCTTGCCAACTCTCTCGTCGCTTCCATCCTATCGATCGCACACGGATACCAGCTTCGCTCCCGACAAGCTGCCCTCGCAGACCCGAATGCCCCGGCTCCCGTCGGGACCCTGTGCTACTCGTGGGGCGGCGACCTCCTCGTGATCGGCATCATCGCCAACTACGCAGCCGTCGCTGCCGATACGTTCAGCTCGGAGCTTGGCATCCTGTCCAAGGGAGAGCCTCGCCTGATCACGTCCTGGAACCTGCGAAAGGTTCCTCGCGGCACAAACGGCGGAGTCAGCCTCGTGGGCCTGGTGGCGGGGCTTTTCGGGTCGATGATCATTGTCACCGCTACGGTTCTACTTTTGCCCATGTGCAGTGAAGCTACGGAGGGCGCTCCCGGCGGGGGCCGTCCTTGGCTTACGAACGAGCGTCGGGTCTTCATGGGCGGCATGGTGATCTGGGGGCTCCTCGGAAGCGTCCTCGACTCCATCCTCGGTGGTCTCTTCCAGCAGTCTGTCAAGGACGTCCGGTCCGGCAAGATTGTTGAGGGCGAGGGTGGTCTCCGAGTTTTGGCTAGTTCCGACTCCGAGTCATCTGCCAGGGCGGCGGCTAGGGAAGCCGTCTCCAAGGAAGCAGGTGCCAAGTCCGCCAAGAAGGCTCAGGCCGTGACAGTCGAGGATGAAGATGAGGACGAGACAGTCGGCAAGTACAGCGCCAAGAACAAACATCGCAAGCCCAGCTTCGGAGACGAGAAGCCGTCGCGCGTGGTAGAGAACGGGTGGGATCTGCTTGACAACAACGACGTGAACTTCCTCATGGCAGTTATTATGAGCGTTGGTGCTATGGCTGGAGCCAGCTGGTATTGGGGAATTCCTATCCAGGACGCCTTGGTTGTCTGAGGGGTTCATGTTCTGGAATGTTAGTTAGTTTTGAGAGTATAAGTAATGACTTGTTGTACATCGAAAGAATAGACAGAACCACCCCTCCTCCGCCTCAGTCAATTATCGCTAGAAATCATAGGTAGTCACCATGCATTTTTACTCATACTTGCATGCCTACCTAATATACCCCAGTGCCGCTTAACACAGTATGTGGTGAAGTCTTCTTGGCAAAGCCAGCAATCGACCTTCCCGAATCCCATTTCTAAGCCGCGAGCAATGCAAATAGATAGACAAAACTACCAGAGGCAAATGCTCATGATATGCCCAAGATCAATCGTGCCATCCTTAAGTTCGCACAAGTGTTCAGAGCTCTGCCTAACTAGGCAGCTCTACTCTGAATTGCAGCCGAACCACCTACCTCCCAGGACATATAGTATCGCCGCCACAGTCGAAAGCGAAACCCAAAACAAGCTTGTTTTCGTGTATCCTCTTCTGATCAACCAATTCTCGCCGAGTGTTCATGTTCTAAACTGAACAGAAACCTCGAATGTGACCTTTCGGCTAGCGCTATAGACGACAAATTTGACCAAGGCTCCGATTTCTACTGCCATTATATACTTTCGAATGCGTCGATCGAGCTCTGCTCCGTCATTTGGAAACCGATAGGGTTGTAAATGCGATCGATCCTTGCTCAGGATTACCGCTAGAGGACGTTTACCAAGGAATCCTAATCGTTGGAGTGGAATTTTGCCTCGGCACGCAAATATGCTTCGTTAGAGCAAAATCTCAAATCGACTCCCAATTGCCAATAATGGGAATTTCGCGCTTGTTCTAGTATCGCGGTGGTGTTCTTTCGCTTTCTCGATGTGTGTGTAGAGCATCATCGTGACTGAAGGTGTCAGCGTCACCAGTGAAAATTTTCAGGCTTTACCTTCCGATACATGGCGTTGACAAGTTTTTCCCGAGGAACCCAAGGACTGAGGTCCAAACAGTCTCATTTCTCATTCCAAATTTATGCTGTTAGGCCGAGAAGAATGTCGGTGGAAGATTAGGCTCGCAAGAGTTTGTTTTGCACCCCGATGCGAGGGGCCAACTCAGGTCTCGAGTTTTCAAATGGCACATTTACCCAAGAGGAGGGGACGGTTGTAATGGCATATTTGGGCTTTTTTTCACTTTCTATATGTCCTTGACCGTCAGTCTAGAATACAATTCTTTGCGTGGTTGTGAAGATGACCTCCAACCTTCTATCCCATCAGTGGTGATGCACTTACTCAGCAGCCACTGAACAAATCAACTGGCTGCACGCGCTTAACATCTTAGCCAAGTATTGATTTCATACAGAAAATTGGTGGAATGAGAAATTTGAGGAAGCTCGCTTGAAGGTGATTGCATTTTTCATGCCGCAACTCTCTCCTTTTCACCATGCATTTCTTGCATGAGAGGCGGAAAGCCTCTGCTACAAGTATTTGCCAACGACACAGAGTCATAATTTATCAACAAGCTAAACTTTCTACGATTCAAAGGCTCAGTCTTTGACAACTTTGTCGAATTACATAGTCACTTGCGTTCGAGTGTTCTAGCCCCATCCCCGTAGTGCCATGGAACTGCTAGATTCCCCGCGATGGACTGCATCAGCTTACGCCCTAGAAGAGACCTAAATTACCAGCAGTTAATGAGCTCTCTCTCCGGTAAACATGCGATAAAATTCCTAATTCTGAACATTCGCCAAGCATGCCTTCCCAGGAGATTGGGAATAATGGCTTCGCTTCGCTTGGAGCTCAGGGGTCTCCACCAAAAGGGATTAAAGTACGATGAGTTGTAATTACATATCAGCAATGGTGACCAGGGCGTTGTTATGCTGAGTTTCTCCAAGCCCCCCTGGTGCACTTATTCCTCCACAGCCCTTCAATGCAGGTGTCTGCACAGTAGTTGAGGCTATCCAAGCGGACCCGGCATCGTCGTTCAGGCACCGGGGATATCCTCATCGAGCAAATGCCCAAATACTTGAGTCTAGGGAACCTCCCAGCCACAGAGCATCAAAGATTCCCCGATGGCCACATGAACTTGGTGGGCCGGTAGCTCGCAAAATGCACGCTGGCAAGCTACGAGAATAGACACTTCCTCAGATGGTTGAGCCCGGCTTGGCGCAATGCGAGAACTAGCCACAACGGGGATATTCATTGGCTGGAGCGCTAAAGAGTGGACTCGGACGTTCTAGGACTCAACCGGTCACTTGTCCAAGCCGGATATTACGCTTACAAGCAAGCTAACGAGGCCCGGCTAGTCATCATCACAGTACTATGTAATTCCCTACTATAATTAACCCGGACTGCTAGGGCGCGTTATGCCCCAACAGTGAAGATGCCCGTCTTTAGCGGTCTCGCGGGCTCGCTAGCTGCTGGGGATGCCAGAATGGCGCCTCTTTTGGAACTTTGAACCGAGTCAAATATCGACGCGGCTATTTTCAACCCTATCCAAGGGTATGCGTTCGTGAAATCGGAGAATAGCCTGAATCATTCGACGCGTTCATCGCGGATCGAACGCGTTGGAGATTCAATTCGCGGGTCTTTCTATTTGTCGGAGTTTCGAGGATGTCTCGTTACATGCCGTTTACCATATAATGGTCGGGATAATCTATGTGTATTCGCTGTCCAAGACGATGAATGCACCTGGAATATAAGTTTTGGTTTCGGATCCCAATTGCTGCTCCAGTGCGTCCTGGTAGCGACGAAATGTTTGTTTGTTTACATTTCATCCCAAAGTGAAGCTCTATCGTGATCCTCAATTGCCGCATTAGGAAAATAAGCACGTTGAGGTAATCGTTCGTTAGGGCTGGTCTATTTTTGGCAGCCATCCATGCCCCTCGGAAATGGCCCCATCCACGGATGACGCTCCTCTCCGCTGTTGGCAGCATTTTTTTTCCCGGGCGAATAAGCTATCACCTTGGCCCAACGGCGATGCAGCCCTGGAAGCCATCAGCAGAGCGCCGTGGGCAGGAGGTGTCTCCCATTTGAAGGCGGATGTGTTTTGGCTTCGCGATAGTATATAGATCCAGATGAGACACGGAGAATAATTTGTTTGAAACGTGGTGCATGATCTCCTCGCTCGCTTCTGGCCGTTGTGTTCTGAGGCGGGGGAATCACATTGTGTCGTGTCATGCGTGCAGCATTCTGGCATGTACGTCGTCATCAGCCCCAAGCAGCTGGCCCAACGTGGAATACCTTTCCCACGTAAAACAGTCTTCGTCTGGTAAGGGCAGGCCCAGCTGGGCAGACTAAACCAACAGCCTCGAGAACCACACACACACGACAAGCACACATGGGGACACACTCATACGCAGCCATGCACGCCCGGGTGTTGCAGACGGGAGGGAGGATGTGGTGATCTAACCGGCCGGCGTGCGGGTAGGACACGGATCCCAGCATGCAAGATCCAAACTTGTGTGTGTGTGATGACTATCTGTGTGTATAATGGGAAGCGGGCAAGGGTCCGTCCGCGAGCCTATCCATAAGGCAGACGACAGCCGGGATCTGAATATAGCACACCGTCATCGAGCTCCGTCCGTCGTCGAGGGCTGGTCGGGCTGCAAGCAGCCGTTGAGCGGCGGTCCCGCGGAGGTGGGAGGGTGGGCTTGAGTTTGATGCAGGGACTCCGTCCGAAGTGCCAGGCACGGGGAGGGTGTCGGTAAGGGCAAGGTAAGGGCAAGGTAAGGCCTCCTGCTCACCTCGACATTACTCTATCTCACTTACTCTCCCAGGCGTTGCCAAACCGGTTGAGAATGACAGACTTACTAAAATGTCATAGGTAATCTCTTGTGCCTTACTCCGAGGAATGCCAAGGGGGTGTCGTCAATGCGACGGAAACGGGCCAATGGCAGCCCCGGCCTGGCAGCTGAGATAAAAATACCATTTTCTCCGCAACGGCATGGGAGAGAAGCTTAGCTAAGGTCGCTGTTTGGCGGGAAACCGGTGCGTGCCCCCACTATTACGTTCGCTAAGGCAGGTACTGGCTTGGGTGCCAGTATCTTTAGCATCATTTAGGGCCGCAGCCACAGCCCCAAACCGGGGCCGAGGGCTAAAAACTGCAGCGAATGTCCCGATCAAGACAGCTCACCCGCATCCCGACCCCCATGCTCTTGCCTTATTTATCTCGCTCTAGCCGGCCTCGGACTAGGCTGATGCCCACTGTACCGACCTGGTGGGTTCGGGGACTGAGATGGCCGTTTGCTTTGTTGTGTTTCAAGCCTCTGGCAGACCTAGTTCGGACGGCGGTGAGGTAGTAAGTCGGTTGCACTACAGGTGCGCCGGTGTTGGTGCAGTATTCCTGATACTGAACCTGAAGCTGGCCGTGATGACTGGTCGCAGCCTCACCAGACCGGACACCTTGTCTAAACCCCGGGTGCAACGCCTCTGCCTCCCGTCGCCCATCTCCCGTCCGCCAAAGGGCGAAGAGAGTTCTTACTCATGGCCATCTATCTCTATGTGTTCTATTTTTGCGCATCTTGAGATCTGGAGATCCATGCATTGCATAACGTCCGATTCGGGCACACGTCAACAGAGGCCGACCGCTGTGCCTACGCCAACCAAATCCGCCAGTACACTCTTGAAAACATTTGGCAAAGGTAGCAAACGGCGGGGCATCTTCAAAAAAGAATCGCATCTCATTTCTCCAGTTGGGAAAGGCTCAATCGGCCAGCATGCCGGACTACACGGGCGTTTCTCGATGCCTCAATTGAAGCCGGCACGGAGCTGCTGTGCCCCATCCTTCCCGGAGCTCTGGGGAGCGGGCAGTGCCTCCTGCCAATTGGCTCGCAGTCAGCACCAGGATCTGCCTAAGCATATTAGTATGGAAGTCTTACTTGATTTTTTTTCCGTGCTAAAAACATGAAACGATGCGGAAAAAATAGCTACCAGCTAACAGGGTGGGGACCAACACAAGAGCAAGATCCCCAGATGAGCCCACACACCGCAAACACACCATCAACATCTGCACAGCAAACACACACACCCCATCATATC